TTCATAAAAAGACAGACCTGGAACAAAGCTGAAAATAGCATACACTCAGGGATTGAATAAAATATTTCACTGCTAGGATACATGCAACTGAACATTTCTTCAGAATTTAGAACTTTACTGAAAAGGAACTAAATATTCTCTTTCAAGGATGTCTACTGTTGTTTGTAACTTAAGAAATTTCAGAGGGACTTATGTACAGGAATGCACAGTGTAATTCTACATCAAATTGAGGCCCAAAATATTTATCTATTGCATAAGTTCCCTCTAGAAATCACCTACTTCCATTTTCCCCAATGCCTTCAAAAATTACATACAAAAGGAATAGACTCATTGATCTCTTTTTTAGTGGAGAAAAAAATGGACTCTACATATGAAAAAGGCTTAGTGCATGTCACAAAGTTGGATATTCTAAAATAAATTTTCATACTGTGGCTGGCCAAATTTGGTTCCCTACCAAATATGTGCCAGTAGGATGGACGTTCTTGGTCTAAGTGTGGAAATGAAATGGTTTTGACTGACGCACATTGTCTTCTGACTGCTCTATTGGAGGATGGTAACAATTTTAGGAACTTAGTTGATTGATACTTACAGATCATAAGCCCATGGATGAGTAAAAGGTTAGAAGGTTACACTTTGAATTAATCTTCATATGTAGCTTGCTCTACATCCAGCCAGAACTCTTTGCCATTGAAGAAGTGTTGTCTTTCAGCAATTGGCTTTTCAAATTTCTTTTGTTAAAAAATACTTGTTCGATTTTAAAAGAGTTGTTTGGTTATCGAAGGCTTGGAAAATTATGCAGCTTGTGATTGTGGTTCAGAACAGCTCAAAATAATAATACTAGGAGAATATAGGCATGTAAAAATAGCTTCCTCCCTGTTTTGGAGGAGGTTAGGAACATTAAACACATTATTACATTAGTTAGAATAAGTGGACGAAGAGAAATTAAGTGATTATATTTGACATGTTGGTGAAAGAAACTGACAAATAGGAAGAAATATGATGCCATGTAGTGTATATTTTTGCTGTAAGCAAAAGATTAGCTATTATTGGTTTCAAGGTAGAAAACTGCTTATTGCATCTTAAAATACTTGAAGAAGGAACTCTACTCCCCTCAGTAACCTCTGGCAAAGTTTGTCATGTGTCCTCTTCATAGGAAGGTTGCAATTATCTTTAATATTACCACTATAGAGTCAACTCAATTACTTTGTCCAACATTCAGCGATGTAACAGCTCATAAATTTCTAGATGTCATAAAATCATTCCACCTTCTCATCTTTCTGATTGAATGCAAGTGACTCCGTTAACCTCTTTTATAAACACTGCTGTTCAGTTTCATTCCCTTGAGTTACTATTTTTTCTGTATTGTTTCTGCTTTTGTTAATTTCCCTCATATCTATGTTGAGCTTCAAAGGCCATTCTGATACTAGATGTGAAGAGGGATTATTTCAAAGCCAGTGCTATCCTATTTCTGGTCCACAGCCAACAATTACCAGGAGCATGGATGAATGCTACTCGGGCCTGGACTTTCACTTGCCTATATTTGCTGCCCTGTGCTTTGTTCTTTCTCCACATAACCTATAGTTGATCTTATTCACTTCACTGTTTATTATTGTTCCTTCTTATCACAGACATTTCTTTTGATTAGCCACTGTGTCCTACAATATTAACTGTCATGATTTCTTATGTTATTGTTAAAATCATTGTTCCCAAGCACAACATTTTTTAAGCCTTGAAGAACACCTCTTAAGAAATGCTTTCGTTTGACATGAAATCAAAAATCTCCAGGCAATCTTCAAATCCGGACACAAGATGATCATAAAGGCAACATGGATGAAAAGCAGAAAGATATCATTATGGTACCTATTTACAGTCATAAAGAAGGCAACAGAAATAAATGCTGGTGAGGTCGTGGAGAAAAAGGAACCCCCATGCACAGTTGGTGGGAATGCAAATTGGTACAGCCACTGTGGAAAATAGTATGGAGGCTCCAATATATCCACTACTGGGTATTTACCCCCCAAAAAACCCCAAAACACTAATTTGAAAAAGTACCTGCACCTCTATGCTTACTGCAGCATTATTTACAATAGCCAAGATATGGAAGCAAACTGAGTGTCCATCCATAGATAAATGGATTAAAAAAAATTAGGTATATTTATACAATGGAATATGACTCAGTCATAAAAAAAGAATGAGATCTTGCCATTTGCAGCAACATGGATGGAGCTAGAGGGTATTATGCTAAGGTAATTAAGTCAGACAGAGGAAGACAAATACCATATGATTTCACTCATATGTAGAATTTAAGAAACAAAACAAATAAAAAAAAAAAAAGACAAAAAATCCAGACTTTAAATACAGAGAACAAACAGGTAGTTGCCAAAGGGGAGGTGGATGGAGGGATGGAAGGGGATTAAGAGTACATTTATCATAATGAGCACTAAGTAATGTATAAATTGTTGAATCATTATATTGTACACCTGAAACTAATATAACACTGTATATTAACTATATGTCAATAAAAATGAAAAAAATAAAAATAGAATAAATAAACATAATACCTCCCAAAGGCCTTTTCTCCATATACCATGACTTTGGGGGTTAGAGCTTCAACATGTGAATTTTAGGAGGACACAATTCAGTCCATAGCACCATTTGATTCTGATTATTAGCTATATTTGGACAGACTAAACTGATCATGTGCAGACAGGCTCAGAATTTTGCAGACAAAACAAAACAAAAATGAAGGCAAAAGAACTACTATAAATTTAAAGAAACACTTCAGATCTCTTGCTAAGAGGCCAAAAAAGAAGAAATGGGAAATTGTTATAAATATGGTAGTGGCACACACAGTTAATTACCTACTTAATTGCTATTTCTATTTCTTTGATAAGAAAACATCAGTTTTGTTCAGGTGCCTGTTGACTATGACACTGAGGAGAAGCTGGACTCCCCTCCACCCCTTTGAGTGAGCCTTAATTGCAATAAGCCAGTCATGCAAATGACACTCTCCTGCCTATGATTGGTTTTAGGAATGGGTATATAGAACAATCCTAACCAATGGGGAGAAGGGTATCAGGAAGATTTAGGAAGGTTTTCCTTAATCCTATAAGATGAAGACAATGCCTTTTTTGCCTTTGAATGGTTTTATGTAATGTTGTGATGCATGGAGCTATGGCAGCCATCTTGTGACAACAGGTTTACAGCTTAGGCATGAAAGGCAACAAAGTAAGATGGCATGGTGGAAATTCTACAAATACCTGGATTCTTGATGAGGTTGCTGAGCTGTTAGATTAACCCATCCTCAAACTCTGACATGTCTAAACTTCCAATAACAGGACTTACTAAGTTTATTATTGTGTAAGCCAGTTTTAACTGGGTTTTCTGTAAAATTGCTATAGAATGCACCTTGACTGATAAGTTGTCCAACACTTATTCTTCTAGTGTTTAGTTATATCCAGTGTAGAAGTTTAAAGGTGCTTTAACACCTACCAAAGTTGATTTTAATCATGATGACCTACCACAGTAACAGAATCTTTTTAGGGTTTTTTATACTGTTACATAACTGAAACACATTTGTGATTGCATTGTATCTATAAGACAAGTAGCTGACATTTTTAGACCAAAAACAAAAACAAAGCAAAATAAAACTCTGTAGGAAGAACAATGTCTCACAAGAGAGATTTTTTTTTTTTTAACACAAAAACTGGTTAATGAGATAGCAATTTTAACCAGGGTATATTATGTCAGTGAACAAAATAATGACATGTGAATTCAGACAGCATGGATTGAAAATGTATATATTTGAATATATCACCTGGGACTGATTATTAAGGTGTTAATGCATTTCTTAAATTCTAGTTGGACCTGGATCTTTTGCTCCAAACATTTTGAAAGATCAATCCTAAATGGAAAATATAGCAATTTCTGAAATTATCTTAAAACTATTACTAATGCATAATCAACCCAAGATGATGGCTAACAATATTCAAATTGCATGTTTACATGAAAACCATAAAAATTAGCAGCATACTTAAGTAATTATTAATTCTCAGATTTTCATTACTGCTTCATCTATATTGTCAGGCAACATAGGAGTTAAAAATATTAAATAAATCTCTAATAAATACAAAAGGAGAAGAGCAGAAATAACCACAAAAATATATTTAGAATTATCCCCCAAAAATTCTATAAGAAGTAAATTGATGAATGGACTATACCATGAAACGAAAATAACACTTTTAAGCTTTGCAGGTTCATAGAGTACTTGTATGGAATAGCAATACCTTTTAGAGTAGATATTTTAAACCACGCATAGAATAATTATAAAACTGAAAAGCACATTTTTCACAGACAAATATTCAGTGATGAATCAAAATGTATGTAATGATCTAAAATCAAGATGCTGTTTGCTAACCTAAAAGTATTTGATTCACAGATGATCAGTTTGCTTAAAGTTAATATTCATGAATTTGATTTTGACCAAATAATAAGGATAAGGTAATTTTAAAGAAGAGCTACAATAAACTATTACTAGAGGGGGAAAAAAGATTTGTTTTTTTTTCTGGTTTATGAGAACATTTTTTGGATAAAAAACCAGGGTGATTTTGGTACAGGACATCCCCTGCTGGACAGAGTCCACCATTACAATATTTTATCAGAGCAGAAGAGGCTTAGCTAATTCCTCTAATTCTCCTATTCTGGCAGGGAGAGAGGGAAGGTACTTCAAAGATACCTGGAACCACACCTCACACTAACTGCAACCAAGATGTCAGGAGCTGGGTTCCGAGCATTTGCAATGTGTAAAGCTCACCAGTTGATGATAAATATGTATTGAATATTGCTAGAAAGATTTTCACCATGGCTGAGGAAGATAGAGGAGTTTACCATGTAAGAACAGATCTGAGACTGTGTGCAAGGTACATGACCTACAGAGGTCTTATTCTAATTGAATGGAGAGAAAATGAAGTTATTGTGTATTATTATTTGGTTCAGTTTACCTTGGGCTTTTCGTCCAGGATCTGTTGACGTATCTCCTTGTGTTTCTCTACAAGTTTTTCTTGCCGTTTACTTTGGGCCTCTTCTAACTATAAGAAAGTTACAAAGAAAGTAATTTTCATCTGAACATTCAAGGGAATGTTTTCAGAAAAACTTGAACGCTTTTCAGATCTGTGGCGTACATTGAATTATTTCATATCCTGATCAAAAACTGCCCTTACAAGTGTAGGAGACTGTTGGTAAGTGTTGGTCCTCGGTGATGGGGCACAGGGTGGGGTAGGGTGATCTATAGATTCTGCTCTTTTTACATTTTTGTTAATGTTTAGATGAGCCTTTTTTTTTTTTAAAGATTTTATTTTATTTGAGAGAGAGAGAGAGCATGAGAGAGAGAGCATGAGGGGGGGAAGGTCAGAGGGAGAAGCAGACTCCCTGCTGAGCAGGGAGCCCGATGCGGGACTCAATCTCGGGACTCCAGGATCATGACCTGAGCCGAAATCAAGAGTCAGGCGATTCACCTACTGGGAATTAGGGAATTAACCCCCTAAAGAGATAAGAGATTTTAAAAAAGAA